ATAACCAGGACTAATCAGTTACTGATCAATCTGAATCCTTAGTAATGGGAGGGAGAGAGGGAATGGCCCAGCCTATTTGAACCCTACTAAGTGGACTGGTAGGATATCCGGGACCTCTTGTCACCTGCCACTTGTGAACATCTGCATGATTTCCTCATCTGCCCTTCACCCATGTGGTCTTGGCTCAGTAAAGATTTGCATAGATGGTTCCAAGGGATAAGGGATATCGGGATGCTGCCTTCCCACATGCTGGATTTTACCTGTTCATTTAGAAAAGGACATGTCACACTTTAAATTTTGGAAAAAATCTTTTATTTGAAAAAACACATAGAATTCCTTCCTACTCACTTGAAACACAAAGCCAGCAGATGAGAACCAGGAATGAAAACAATTATAAATGTCCCAGAAAAGCTTACTGAACACAAACTGAATAAAATGGAAAAACAACCAAGCAAGAGATAATTTGAAATCTACTTGATCCCATAAGGGTTTCTGTATGAATGAACTCCAATTGCTTCAGGTACAGGGGTGATGCCCAGACCTTTGCCATCCCTAAGTAACACATATGAAATTATTGGGAGGGAATTGGAAAGTTAGGTGTAAAGTGGCTTGAAAAATTTACCTGGTGCCCAGAGTTGGAGTTATTCTGAAGCCTCTGGTAAGTCTGCTGAGCAACTGAAATGATGCAGAGGACTGTCAAAAAATTGCTCATGCCTCCCCCATCCCCCCCAAGTCATTCCAGGGGCCAGGATGCTGCTTGGACTCCACAGCACCTCCATATAGAACCTCTGCTTCTCAGCATAGGTACCGACACCGTGCACTGGAGTTTGGAAGACCTCTACAAAGATTATTCCACATTCTCTACATCAAAGGAATCCTTTTGCTGCAGAAATGGGACTTTTATGACTCCTTGCTGCTACATTAAAGGGACTGTATTGAGGATCTTCACCATTTGTGCAAAAGACTTCCTTTTTGTGTGCTTACTTGGGGTTAAGCAAACAACTTATTTTTATATGGCCCTCAAAACCAGCTTGAAAGCACCAGAAAATCAGCTGCAGCACGCTGTGTTCTGCTACCAGCAGCAAAACAGAGGGAGACTTCAACATATGTGATTTTATTTAGAACAACTGTGCCTAAGACAGTTATTACAATTGCTGGTTGACAGGCACAGAAATCTCATTTGACTGCTCAAATTCAGTTCAGCAGTCCAAAAAGGACTGGTAAGCATGATCATCTGATGGTCACCCACATAAAAGAAGTTGCAATGGAGATTCTCCTCCAGGTAGACTGCTGTCACCAGCACACCTCACTGGCAGTGTTAACAGAGCATCCCTGCCATGGGCAGAGGGTATTTTTCTTCAGGATGGACACACCTTGGGTGTACATTCACAATGTTGCTGTTCATGTTTTATTTATTCTGTGAATAAATTCACAAACAGGGTTGGAATTAACACTTGTAAGAAAGAGCAACTCCCTGATGAACTCCAATCTAATCTGTCTAGTAGAGAAACACACATTCTTGGGAGTGAGGATTGGCTTCAACATGTCCCATTTTGCAGTAGTAGCAAGATCTCTTTTGTTCTTTATGTCTTTATTGATGTCAGGCTATGACATGAACTGCACACAGCAGGTTTTGGGACCCAACACCTTTCCTGTAGCAGGGTTTAGAATGTCCATAAAACACAGGATTGCTCATTCCTAAATCAAGGAAATTAGTAAAGCTGTTAAATGTAGTAGATTAGCCAACACATAAAAGAAAAACCCTGTATTCATTAATTCCTTCTGGTACTCATTTGATGTCTTTCCCAAAATCTGTCAGAGCTATCTGCACTTTCTGATTTGTGTTAAGCAGCAAAGATGCTCAGTCTATCTGCCAACAGCTTTTAGCAAAGGTTAGCAGGCTGGTGGTCACCAACTCCACCTTAACGGGTTGTTTTCTTTGTTTTATAAAGACATTTTTGACTCGTGGATATTCCAGCTAAATTCTAGCTGGAACTGGTAAATTTCCTACTTTGGATGAGGAGTGCACAGGTAAAGCCATGAGAGATCACTTAAGCCTGGTCTAGAAATGATTGTCCTCACACACTTGTCAGTGATCTGCTGCCAGGGTAGACTGTACACTGTGTGTGTGCCCTGGTGTGTGTATGAGGAGGAAAAACCAAACAAAACAACTGGCTCCCAATCTGTCCCTGCTGCTCTACTCTCATAGACTGCCAATGCTTCTGACATCAGTGCTGCTGGTATTGATGGGTGTAGATTTGTCATCTGAACTGCAAAATTTTAAAGCTGAATTTACAAAGCGCTTTGCTGTGACAAGAAGAGTTCCAAAGGTACCCTCAGTCCAAAGGGGATTTGCAGTTCTCTTGGAATATCTGGTTTTACTAGGGAGATTCCTCTCCCTGTAAACTCAGGTGAAGTGCCATAGTCAGCTCTTTTGGAAAGTTCATGGACTAAGGAGGAAAGGACATGGGCACAAAAGGAACACGTTCTTGTTCATATTGTAGCAACAAACTGCCACTAGTTACTTTTACAGCTTGCTAAGGCACCATAGAAAAGCAACCCCGGGGTGTCTGCCTGGTAACAGCTGTGGCTGTGTAAGGAACTTCAAGGGCACGAATGAGGGGCTGCATTCTGCTCCTCTCCACCTCACTTTTGGAAGGAGGCACACTGTAAATTCAAGGACCTTTCCCTTTCTTGCTCTTTAATGGTGGGCGCATCCCCAGAGAAAAAAACCCACATAACAAAGGGGGAACCCTGTCGCAAAACACTGTTTGAGCTGAACTATGTGGATTTGCTGTAGCAGGTGTTCAGTAATTTTCACACAATCACAGAATGTCAGGAAAAGACAATGTCTAATTCTTCCACATGCCCTCATTTAGATTGAGTACTTTTCCTGTAACAGACAAAAAGCTTGGCTCTGTGCTGCTTTGCATTGAGTCTGCTTGCATCAGAGTATTACTGGGTCTTGCCTAAGGCATTGAGAATCTTTCACCTTTACACACAGTTGTCATGACAAATCATTCCTGTTACAAGCTTCTCATCTCCTAATTTACATTTTTCTTCATCTTCTTTTATTAAGTGTTCAGACTACTCCTGCACATGGGAGTGGTTTCAAGTGGCAGTGCCATAGGGATCCATCTGAATGTGGCCTGTTGCTGAACAGTGACTCTGGCCAGAAAGGCTCCTTTCACGGTGATCCTGGTATATTCCTGAAGAGGGATAGCCAAGCGTGATATACGATGCTGTGATGAACCCACCTGTGTGCTGCTGTGGGCACTGTCCTCATCATCCTTCCAGTGGAGGTTCCCTGGCAGGGGAATTTTAGCCCCACTCTTGGGCCTGGGTATGGGAAATTTTCCACTTGGGACCACGCAATGACATAAAACACGTACATGAACAGCATGGCCTAAACCCACCTCCAGGGATCAAATTCAGGGATGGAGAGTGGCCTAAGTTACATTCTGAAAAATGTCCCTCTATGAGACCATCCTAGGAAGGGACCAGAAAAGGGTGTTCATTTCCCCAGCTCTGACTTCCCTCTAAATCTGACGCCAGGCTTAAGAGAGATAAAAAACAAATGCACCTGCCGAGTATCTACACCTTACACCACCTCCCCAGCTCCTCCCGCTCCTGAGTATCAGGGAGCTTGGTGTGTTTGGCCATTTCTACAGCTGCGAATCCGCCTTCATCCACTATCTCCAGGACAGGCCCTTGTTCAGCATTCTTATCACTTATCTGTCCCTGATTTGATTTCCTATTTGCCCCCCCCCCCCAATTCAATTTCCCAGCAAATTATTCCAGCTGCTCGCAAGCCTCCCGCGGGCGCAGCCAGCGGGCTGCCTGCCTTTGTCGCACGCGCGGCTCACCGCGGCCAGCGCCGCCCGCACCCTCCCTCAGCGAGGAGCCACCCGACACACGGCGGCGGCGGCCCGCCTCTTCTGCCAGGGGGCTGCCACGCCGGGCCTGCCGGCAGCGGCACACAGACAGCCGGGGGGGCGGCAGCGCCGGCGGCCCCGCAGGGTGCGGGCTCCGCTCGGCCCCGCAGCGCTCACGGAGCCACAGCGGCTGGGCGGGGCCGCCCAAGATGGCGGCGGGCGCTCCTCGCGCCGCCCGGCTTTGTACCGGGCTGCGGCCCCGCCCGGCAACAGCGACACCCAGCGACACCCAGCGACACCCAGCGACACCCAGCGACACCCAGCGACACCCAGTGACACCCAGCGACACCCAGCGACACCCAGCGACACCCAGCGGCCCCCGCCACACCAGCCAGCCGGGCCGGAGCCGCCGCCGACCCGCCACGGTCCGGCCCGGCCCGCCCGCCGCTGGCGTGGCCTCACTCCGCGGCGTTTAAGCAGTCGGTGTGACTGTTAAACAGCCGTAAGAGCCAGGTGCCCTGCTCCTGTCACAGCGGAGCAGCAGCTCCATCCCTCAGTCACTGAGCACTGGAGAAGGGAGCTGCGAGGGCCTGAGATCACTGAGTTGTGGAATGGTTTGGGTTGAAAGGAGGACCTTTAAAGGTCCTCTACTCCAACTCACCTACACCTTCCACTAGGTCAGAGCCCTGTCCAACGTGACCTTGAGGCACTGTCCCAGGGATGGAGCATTCACCACTTTAGGCCAACCTGTCCTAGTGTTTTACCACTGTCATTGTAAAAACTTCTTCCTCATATCTAGTCTAAATCGACCCTCCTTTAATTATCCCTTGTTCTATTGCAACAGTCCCTGCTAAAAAGTTTGGCCCTATCATAATCTGCGGTTTTGAAGTGCAGCAGGTGGTGAGCCATGACAATGTGATAATAAAATGATTCTTTTCTGTGCTTTTTGCAATTTTGTGCATTCAGCTAACGATTTCAATATTCTCTGCTAGGGGTTGTGAAAGCCTATGTCATTTAATATAAAGATTATTTTCCCTTATCTGTTTAGATATTTGTATATTTTGCCCAACAACAATATGTTTACAGTTGGATATTTCTAAGAATGAAAACACAATCTAGACAAAATCACAGTATCTGCTCAACCATCTGATTAACTTTATTTATATAACAATGTAAATATAAAACCTCTGAAATCATACTTGAAGAAATAACAAGAGCAGCTGTATTTAAATTGAACACTCTGAATGCATAGCAAGTTTCATATTCCAAATAGATGGTTTTGCATAAATATAGTACCTGAAAGGGCCATAAAGCAGTGCACATTTCAGGTTTACATTAAATGTGGGCCTGACCCTGTTTGTGTAATACAAAATAAAATGATTTTCTTTCATGCATACCAAAGACCAGTGCTTTAATACAAGCTGACTGAATGGATCAGGTCACACAATAACCAGTGAATGCTGATGGATCTGCAGAGGGTATTAAAAGGATGTATGGAAGAAATTGAAAGGATCACTTACATAGCAATTACTATAAAAAATACACATCTGCAGTTTCCAGGAAGCTCAGAAACCCCATGAAGTTCAGTTCCAGCTCTCACCCCTATTCTGGGATGAGATGGATTTGAGAGCACTGAGTTTAACTGAGGAGTTTGCTTTGCTATCCCACTCTCCATTCCTGCAAGTCCCCAGTGTCTAATGATGCAGTTAGTCTTGGTTTCGGTTTTCTGTTAGAAAAAATGTCCTCAGGTGACAGCTCCATGCATGCTCTGAAACTTAGTTGTTCTAAATATGGATCAGGCTCTGACTTTGGGTGCTTTTCAGTAAGCTCTCTATTGATTTGCACCATTTCCTACTGAATTGTTAAGGTGGGAACTTTATTGCCATGAGCTGCAATACTGTCGACTGATATTCTGAAGAGTTCACGTGGATTTTTAGGTTTTACCTTCCCATAGGTGTCCTGCCAATGGTCCCATGCACATTTTCCCTGGGCTGGCACCTCCCTTGCTGCCTGCTGCTTGTGTCGGAACAATCCCTCCAGTAAAATTGCCTTTGGATGAGGTGTTCTCTTTTTCTTCATGACAAATTATAGTTAAAAAAAATCAAGTAATTATTGAACTGTTTCACTGAGATTTTTGTTCCAGTTCATAATCCCGAAGTCTTATCAGTGACCTACAGACCCAAATGGCTCTGTAGCAAATTGTCACAAACGTTTGCAACAAACTTTTGTCATTTCCCTCAGAAGGGTGCTCAGTCAAAGGGAATGAGTTTGCCCTCACAGACTTACATAGGCAAGTCTCTGGGATGTGTTTGCTTCTTGCAGGACCAGCTCCCTCTAACCAGCACCCTGAGCTGAGGAGTTAAGAGGGCCCATGGCAAGGCTCTAATGTACAGGGTTCCAGAACTGCAGCACCAGGATGCAGGATAGGGGTTCATGGAGGGGGGTGACGGAGGCCGTCGCTACACATGGTGAATCCATGACTGATTTTTATAACACTTTCTTCTTATAACATCAGTGTGAAAAAACGTAGCCTGTGTCTTGTCACTTGGTGGGTTATGCAGTCTTCACTGTCTGTCCATGTGGTTCATAATTATCCATCTTCACCTAGAGTTAAAGGAAAGTTGTTATGAGTATAGAAAACAAGAACCAGAAATGAAAACAGCTTGTTTTCCTTTTACTTGCAGGGACAAGAGAATTCCCTCAATTTCAGTAAATTTGCATGTATGGGGAGCTGCTCATTGCTCCTCTGCTTCAGGCTGACCACTTTCTTGATTACCTGTTACTTGTGTAACCATGGCTGTTTAAGCCCAAATATCAATGGTCTTTATACACCTCGGTTTCACTGGGATTAAGGTACCCACCACTGCTGGAAGATCTGAGGTGTGACACTGCAGGTAATGTGCTGTAGCCCCACTCTGTTCAGTGCCTGGTGCCCACAGCAGAGCATCACAGGGGCCCTCACAGGCTCGAGGAAGCCCAGCTCTGCAGCAGAGTGCCTTCACCCTGTGTGTGATGCTCGCACTGAGAGTGCCCCTCAGCACTAACCCTGCTCTGCACACTTCCTACAGCTCCTCCTCAGCTGAGAGCCTGCTGGGGCCTTGCTGTCAATGCTAAACTATAACAGTGTCTAGTTGTATGTAACTGGTGTTAGCTTTTTGAAAGCTATTTTAGTACTAAGGGACTTGAGCATCAAGATGCTACTGTAACTTGATAATAAGGGAAAACAATGATACATGCGAGTGCTTGAATTATGGGGATTATTTCAGAACAGTAGGACAGAAATGGCCCTTTTCTCAGCCCCTTCAGTTTATTGAAACTGGTTGTCTTCTCTTGTTTTCCTTAGCACACAATAACCGCTATTTACATCTAATTTATTATAAGCACATGTTGAGTAATAGACCATCAAGCTTTTGGAGTTTCTATTTTCAGTTACATTGTACCATTGCGGAATAAGAAATGCAACTGCTGAAATTTGTTTTCGATGGTATGTTGATTAAAAGCTGCTTGAGTTTAAAATTTCCAACCATCTAAAATGAAAACCCTTCACATGTTTCATATCCCCGGCCAGCGAGAGAGTTTATTTCCTACTCTGTATAAATAATAGATTTTGCTGTTGATATGTATCCATCATCAGACTAGGTTAAATTCTCAGTTGGAAGTGTGAATTGTCTTGCAGTGAAGCTAACTAGATGGAACTAATTTTGAAATGGGTACAGTGCATAATTATGGTAACCTAGTGTACAGGGACTGATCCACCCAAATCAATCATATCTGATGTAGAAAAACATGAATAAAAATTAAATCAAAAACATAACTGCCTGCTTATAAACTAAATCCATTTTTGTTGAGGGATTTAAATCCCTTTACCTGGCAGAAAGCAAGTGCCAAAGTGCCAATATTTCACACTAGGTTTTTCAGTGAATGCTTTAAGCATAACCATTGGCAACAGTTTATGGATAATTTTGCCTCTGGAGAGGAGGAGAAGATGTCCATGGAAAAAGTGAAAACATTCAAACAAAATTCATGGGTTTACTGCCTTTAAATACTTTAGGTTTTGAGTAACGGGGAAAGACGTAGCAGGAAAAAAGAAAGTAGCAATGTTGATTTCCATGATGGGAGACTTTTTGGTAGAAAAGAGGTTGCCAACAGAAGGATTCAGCAAGAATGAACTGAACAGGTGAAGCATTGGAAGGAAATTGGTGAAAGACATGGAAGAAAGTATGAAAGGAGAGATAATTTAAGGGGATTAAATACAGAGAGATTTACCATTCGTGCTGGAGTCTGATATCTGAACTAAAGAGGAACTGGGGGAAGGGATGAAGCCTTTGAACACAGAGAAATTTATGGACCTCTGAAAGCAGAGATAAAGATAAGGCCTTTCAGAGATGGCTGAAGATGAAAGACTCACAATTAATCTAACTTTTGGGAGATATATCTAGCTAAGGGAGCTGCAAGATTTAAAACTTCTGTTTCTGCTGCGTGACACGTGTTATGGTGTTGTGTCTCCCTGGGTAACACCCTGTGGCTGGATGAAGGAGGCTTCCAATTACCTTCCAGCTCCCTGCCTTGCCAGGCTCATATTGTTTCTCCTGCGTTACTGACCACCATGAGCTTCCTGACATAACCAGAGTAATCAGGCTTTGCTATATAGTTACTTTTTCACCTTAAAAAGAAAGAAGTATTTGCAGATAATATTTGCCTTGAATGTAGCTCATCAAGAACCCAACTGAGTCGCTGAAAGGCTCTGTGGATATCAGACTGCTGATTTGTTATTTGCATGCAGTAGTAAGACAGGTGCTGAGACTTTCACCATGACTCTCAAGTAACAAAAGTACTTCTCGAACAGCAGCTACTGTTTGTTTCATTTTGATGAATACCAGAGTACCAAGCAGCACTGGGAAAAAAACAAATAAAAATGTAACATCTTTACAAATACAGTCATTTCTCCCATGCCAAAATCATTTTGGAGAAGGGGGAATTGTAGGCTGCACCCAGCTCTCCTAAGCTGGAAGGGATCAGAGAGCTCACTGAGTCCAAACCTTTGCAGTTGTGGGCACATACATTTCTTAAGAGATTCTTCAAGTCTGCGTTTAAAAGTCACAAGTAAAAGCTCCCTGCCTCTCCCACTGAGGAAATTATTCCACAGATTATCATAATTCATGGTCAGGAAGCATTTCTTGATACTCAGAACATGTTTTTGCTTCTCAGTCACTCTCTGGACTCTGCTCTTCCCTGTGAATCCTGCTGAAAAATGCCTTTCCTCCACTGGTGGTCTTCTTCAAATATTTGTAGACTGTTATTATGTCCCCCATTAATCATTTCTTAGCCAAGCAATTTATATATTTAACTCTTCTAATCTCTCCTCATAAATCAACCCTCTTAGTCTTTGGATCATGTTTGCTGCTCCTCTCTGAACCCTCAAATTTGTCAATATTCAGAAATGCATATAATATTCCAGATTGGGTGGTACCAGCACCCTGCAGAAAGTGGCTATTTGTTCCTCCCTCAGGGATGTGACACTTTTTACTCTGTTCAATACTGTACTGGCCTTTGCATGCCATAGCACATTACCAATTCATGTAATTTAGCGTGAGCTATCTCCCTACATTTCTTTCATCATTATTTCATTTGAGATTTCTCCTGCCTGTTATTCCTTCTCAGGTGCTCTCCCAGCCTGCATTTGTTCCAAGCTGAGTCTCCTTTAGTTATTTTCTTTCCATGGTTCTGACTTCTTTAGGACATTCTCTATTATTTTCTTGGTACACTGTCTTTCTTACAGAGTGCATGCGAGTTTCAGCAAAGCGCTGTGCACTTTCTTTCCCAGATTATCAATAAAGAAGTCTGACAGACTGTTCCTAGCAGTCATCCACATGGTAGCCAGGAGACACTTCCCACCAGCTCGCTACATTGCAGTTTATTTCCTGTAATTTCATTACCTCAGCAACTTGAAAGCCACATGGAAAAGGCCAAGCCAATGTGAATTACTTTTTCAGCTAGGATCCTGTGAGATACAACATCACGACCCTATTAAAGCTCATCTGCATTTGTGGTAGTCTCCTATCCTTGCTAAAGGCTCTGTACCCAAGGCTCACTGAAGACAAGAGTGACCATTGGGAACAGAAAGTGAATTTATGAGAGTCTGTCTGTAGTACCCTTGCTGTTGTTTAAGTTGGTAATGTTACTGCTTTCCTCTCCTCTAATTTTTCAGTTATCTGGCTTATGCACAATGAGCATAAAGGAGTTTAGATAATTCTTTTAAGTCTTGTATGATGTAGGTTGTCCAGGTTTTTTAAATTGTTTACATTTCCTTAATGTGTTTCCCTATATGCCATTTATCAGTTGTTGCAATTTCTTTTAAAGGATCCTCATCCCACCCTCCCTCAGTGCTCCAGGCTTTTCTTCTTGGTTTTCCCCACTGATGAAACACTTGAAAAGGAACTTGATGTCAAAGCCATTTCTGAATCTTTTGTTTATTCTCTTCATGTGTGAAAGGATTGATTCTCACTAGCATTTCTTTTCTTCAAAGAATACTTATTAAAGTCTTCAGAAGTGCCAAGGTCAATCTCCTTGAACTCTTTGGTTAACTTGGAGTTTTGCAATGTTTTTTTTCAGTTGGTTTGGGAGGCTTGGATGTTTTGGGGAAGGCTGTCTTTTGGGCAGGGAATTGGTTCTTAGTTGTGTTTATATTTGGCTTGCAATTCTTGATTGACCAAATAGTCAGTAGAGAATATTTTTTATTTTTATATGGTTGCACCATTTCTGTGGGGAAAATGAAATCTTTGTTGTGAACAAAATTTTGAATCGTAACTTGATACCAGTCTTATTGTCCCGAAGCGCTGGTGAACTTACACTGTTTGAAATTAGCATAACTGACCTGGATTTCTTCTGCTAGACCCTGAAAGTGGATTAGAGTATATCTAGTTTCTCTTCATTTCATCATTTCCATGTATAATTACAGTTAGTGATCTCCAGAATAAGATGAAATTGAGTGATTTTGCACTCCTTAAATTACACAACTAAAAAAATCATTAGAAACGTAGCCTTGGATGACAGTAACTTCTTCAAATAATTGATGAGAGAAGGAGTAGAACATGATAGCTATCAGAAACGAGTCTTGGCTCTCAACACAAAAAGGAAGTAAGAAACACAGTGAAAGACAAATTTATGTCTTGTATTGCCTCTGTGACACTTCTTTTGGTTTGAGAGATTTTGGTAAGTGATAAGTAATCAGCATAAATGTCTTGAGGAATAGACAGATATTACTATCTCTCTTATTAAAGATGGGAAAGCAAAATGATGGCAGTGAGGCAAATCGACTATGTGGCATGAACAAGACCTATAGCAAGGTGAAATAACCTCTTTCTTATTCTCTTTACTCAGCCTACTTTGCCACTACAATTTGGTATATTTAAAAAATAACAAGCACACAAAAGCACTAGGAAATAATGTCGCATTGTTAGGAGAAAGGCGTGAGACCAATCTAATGATTCATATTTCTAATATTTAACATTCGGAGTTATATTCCTAGACAGAACAATTTTTTGAGATGCTTGCTGGTTCTATCAACATACAAGTTTAAGTTATTAGGGAAACTTTTACAGTGA